CCGCACCAATGATACCGCACCAATGATACCGCCCCAATGATACCGCACCAATGATACCGCACCAATGATACCGCACCAATGATACCGCACCAATGATATCGCACCAATGATATCGCACCAATGATACCGCACCAATGATATCGCACCAATGATATCGCACCAATGATAACGCACCAATGATACCGCACCAATGATACCGCACCAATGATACCGCACCAAATTTGTGAAAACCCCTCACATAAACTTTTTAAAACAAAAATATAGAAATATTTTTTGATAGTAAAAAAAATAGCACAGGTTCTAAAAATATCACATGAAGGAGGGACGAAGAGCCATTTCAGTGGTTGGAGAAAAAGTGATTATAAATGGTCAGACACCGTCAAGGGTCTGAAGGTTTTAAAATGCATTGTTACTTTTTGAGGATGTGCCAGACGTAGTCAAACTATTTTTAGGGTGCAGAATAAAGGACAGGTTGAGAAACACTGCTTTGATGTAAGAAAATACAGTCCCCAAATAAGTATTAAACATTTGTATAACTTTTGAATGAATTAATTTGTACTGCTTTAAGTTAATATACCAGATGATGACATTCATACAAAAAAATTTTTTTTAACAAAATATTATTCTCAACAACAGTATCTTTGTATTTGCCATTTAACATAGTCTATATAACACATAGTCTATAAAACAAACATTGGACATCAATTTCTCAAAAAAATCTGGCATCTTTCGCCAAGGTTAATAAGTTCATCAGAAATATAAAGAGAAAGTCAAAATTCTAACATTAGTTGACCAGCTTATGTATGTCAATTTTAATTAAAAGTTATTTTTTTAATATAAATAGTCTATTTTAATGAGTATTCTTGATCAGGGCTGTGCCAAGAAGGGGGAGGGGGAGCAAAGAGGGCAACCATCCTGGATGACAGCCTGGGTGTGTGGGTGGATTCGCCAAAGTCCTAATTATCAGTTTACTTAATATGGGGCACAGCTTTTCCTCAGCACGGTCCTGCTCTTGATCGCTTTTTAAGTTTAACCAATAAATTAAACAAATAATACAACCTTATTTAATACCGGTACAGACAACAACACACTAAAAATAAATATCTGTTTAAACAAGTTATCGTATTTTTTCTGTAAAGATGATATTTGACATTGAGATTTTAAAACAAGATCTCATGCATCAACCCAGAGATCTGAAATAAGGGGTCAACAAAATAACCTTTGACACAATCAAGAGGTCAAATTCCACTACCACCAGTGCAGTAACTCTGAACAGTGAGGGTCAATTGGAAAAATAAATGAAAATTATACTCATTAAATGTTAATATAACAACTATTGTTAATCTTACAAAAATAGATGCTGATAGTAGCTCATTGACTCACGCAAGCTTAATCCATCATTTCCAGTTTTGCTATTAAAATACGGAAGAAAAAAAGCTGCATATTTAGAGAAATATTACATTAGCCCAGGGGTCCTCAAACTACGGCCTGCATGTCCATGTCCGGTCTAGCCCACCAGGCATCCTTAACCTAGCCCACCTAGTCACCGTACGGTTACCAGTGTAGCAGTGACAAATATGGAACTGGTCATTGATCATCTCTTTAGCCAAAACCAGGCAACCATTTTTTTAAAACACTAATACATTGATGTTGATAAAAATTATTCTTCATTTAAAATATTGTATGGTTTTATCCCCCCCCCCCCTCTTTTTGCACTACAAATAAGATATGTGTATTGTGCATCGGAATTCGTATATTTTTTTTTTTCAAACTATATTAAACCGCCCCAATGATACCGCCCCAATGATACCGACACAATGATACCGCCCCAATGATACAGACACAATGATACAGACACAATGATACCGCCACAATGATACCGCCCCAATGATACCACCCCAATGATACAGATACAATGATACCGCCCCAATGATACCGCACCAGTGATACCGCACCAGTGATACCTCCACAATGATACAGCCCAATGATACAGCCCAATGATACCACACCAATGATACCGCCCCAATGACACCTCCACAATGATACCGCCCCACTGATACCGCCCCACTGATACCGCCCCACTGATACCGCCCCAATGATACCACCCAATGATACCACACCAATGATACCGCACCAATGACACCGCCCCAATGACACCTCCACAATGATACCGCCCCAATGATACCGCCCCACTGATACCGCACCAATGATACCGCCCCAATGATACCGCACCAATGATACGCCCCAATGATACCGCACCAATGATACCGCACCAATGATACCGCACCAATGATA